GAAGAGGAACAATCAGATTTTTCACATGCTTCGACTTCTACTCATCAAGGTAAGAGAAAGTAAGAAACCTCGCTTGTGGGTGTAGAAATAATTGTTGGGTAGCAGTATTGACCCCCAATCCCTTGCTTGATGTATGCTTATAAGAACAAGAAAATTCTAAATGTTTTCTGTTTTGGTATTTGATATTTCTGATGTGTTCCTTGTTGTATGTTGTGCATGAATATGTAATTAATTTCGAAAATAAATAAGTTTTGATATTATTTAGAGTGTTTTGTAGGTTCTTGTGGGAAATCCTATGAGAAACAATTAAGGATATGATCAATTGACAAGAATTGAAGTGTTTAATGTGAAATTGGGTATGAATTAGTATTCTAGAAGTTATTTGAAGTAATTGTACCAATTAAATTGCATGAATATGTGTTTTAATGTGTAAATCGCGTGATTGCAAAGCGTAAGTTTGCCCTGAGGGCGTCGGGCATGGTTCTTTGTGCCGGGCACAAGTTAATAGGTTCCCAAGAAAAATGAGTTAGGCTCAGGAAATTGAGTCAGGAAATTGAGTCGGGCTCAAGAAAGTTAAGTTTGCCGAGCGCGCCCAGGGCGCACCAGGCGTGTTGCCCCGCTTTTGGTGCGACATTTAATTCGCTAGGAACAAGTTGGGACGCACTGGGCATGACCCTTGCTGATGTCTACATGTTTTCTTGTGTGTTTGGAGGTACAAATTGGATGTGATCTGTCTTGCACTAATTTGATGTGAATTATGTGTTCTTATGAATATTATGATGAAGAGAATCCCTATGTGTGTGACCTTATGAATATGAATATAAGAAATGTGATAATGTGAACAAGTGAACAAGTGACATGAGACATGATATGATATGACAAGTAAAGTGGAGATTCCTTGACATTGTGAATGTGACATGTATCATATGCATTTATGTGATGGGGTACGATATGGAGTACACCGTTAGGGAAGACCCTCCAAGTGTGAAACATATCGGAGGAGTTCTAGGGGATAATGCGGTTTAGAAGGCTCAGTTCTGCCTGTTTGTGTGCATGAGACGTATCTTACGCGACTTCGTTATCCCGACGAGACCTTAACAATACATCCTTCTAGTTGAGAGTGCACGATTGAGCCTGCATGTACTCCTAGACTACTCCAAGTGTGTTGCTTCGGTAACATATCACGTGATATGTGATGAGATGTGTGACTGGCGCTACATGCATGCATTTATGAGTCTTGATGAGCAGAGTCATTCAGGCTGAGAGCTTATTGATTGGTATAGGTAATGTAGTTTCTCTTGAGGAAAACTTGGATTTAATGGTGTTGCCCAAACTGGATGCTGAGTCCATTATGGATATGGAGGACTACTCAGATTGGGTCTTAAATAAAGTTTTAGAGTATTCCTCTAAGTATGTGGATAGGGCATTACTCTTTTGCTTTCTTAAAAATACCAACATTGTATAGTATGGGAAAAGTGATTTAATAGAGGCCAAAGACCCTTGGAATGGGAAAGGGTGTGTCAAGAGGGTGATAACAACGAGACATGCTTCCTCTACAAGTACAACTACTTATTTTGCTATCGCCATGCCCACTTTCCATTTGACGACTTCACTGTCGTTGTGTTGTTAGTTTTGAATGTGCCCCCAACCTAGCTTCACTAGACTAGTTGGGCTCTTTTGCAAACATTTTGGTTTGTTTGCAAAACCCCGGACATAGAACCCACTCCACCAATATTTTTGCATTTTTATGAGATTCAACTTGACAATGTGTGTGGATGGCTATCTTGGATTAGCCATGCTCATGGGTTTTTGGTTGAACCCTGCACCACCTCTTTCAAGACCTTTAAGGACAAATTCTTCAAGATTGTACTCATTGTAAAGGGGGCTCTTTCCTTCATGGATTTGGATCCCAAGGATAAAGAGAATTCATCTGCGAAGTTCCCCTTCTATTGGACTCGTGTGTCGTGAAAGTACAACGTCTAGCTCCTACAGATGATGAGTTCTAGAGAACATTTTAATTTAGAAATAATTAAGTAGTCGTCTCTCCCTTTAAAAACAAAGGAGATTTTGAAAATCTCCATGTTGTTGAATGCTTAAGAAATGATGGAGCATGAGTATTTTTGTTCAAAGTCATGCATATGTGCAGATATTGGTTTCCTTGTTTCTTGTGTTTTTCTTGTTTTAGAATTCATGACTTAAAGGTGTAACTTTGACGGGAAGAGTTTGAGGGCTACTATTGCCCAAAAATCTGGCCCTTGAGGATCTGGGGACCTAGCTACCGGAAACCTATCAACCACTCCTTCTAAAAATCCTCCCCAAGTCCAATCTAACCCCTCTAACAGGTTGAACACTATTGCTGCTACCAATTTTCTCACAAGTAGAAAGATAGGCACAAAGAAAAAAAAACTTGATTAGGTTTGACACTAACAAAGACACTAGTAGATAGATTTTATGTGGTAATATTCGACAAATTTTCTAAAAAAGTAAAGTATAAAGACCAAAATAGTTTTTTTTTAAATTATAGGGACTAAAAAAATTAATTTTTAATTTGAGAGAAAAAAAATATTTATCTTAAATTTGAGAAACTAATCTTTTTTTAAATTTACATTTTATCATTAGGTCTTGTCCGTCAATTTTGGCGGAGATTTGACACATCAAATAATAGTAGAAACTAAAATTGAATGAAAAAATTATAAGAATCAAAATTAGAAAAAATATATGAACCAAAATAATGTTTAAAAAAGGAACACTTTTTTATTTTTTATTTTTTTTTTTAATTTTGAAGGTATAACGTATTAAAAAAGATATATTGACTCACTATTTTTTATTTCGGCCTTAGTATATATTTTAAAAAAATGCTACATGATATTCCTATTTAATCATTGAAATCACGTGGAAACTGAAATTCACATCCCTTAAAACTTGAAAGGAGAGTGCATGCTTTGGTCACTGTGATTATCATTACCAAAATTTCCATCGGTTTAAGTTAAACGGTCCAGTGCAGCATGTTTTCTTTCCAATATAAGATTTTGCACGTCTAACTAGGTTCGGAAGAAAATTAGACCAAGATATACAGATTTGGAGGAAGATTTCGACTGTGGCTGTGGTATGCAACAATAATCTTATACTGACAAAGTTGAATTTCTATTTCTATTTCAATTCAGCACTTGGATGATATATGCACACGGAACTGTTCAAGCAAAAGATCATGGCGTGTTGTACAGCCAAATGCATCAAAGATTGCATAAACCGTTCCTTGCTATATAACTTTTGCCAAAACAATTAAACCAAATCATCATAAAATAGAATATAAACATTCAGGGACCAGTGTGAAAGCCTTTGGTATTTTTTTTTTTAAACATTCAGGGACCAATGTGAAAGCCTTTGGTATTTTTTTTTTTTTTTGAGCTTCACTTCAAATTACTCATCTGTGCTCCCTTGCAAGTTGAAATTTTTACAATAAGAAAGAAAAGGTGGCTTCGCGGAGCGAGCCACTGCTTACAACATTATGGGGTCAAGTGAACATGACCCATCTTTGATAAGGTTTGGCCATCTCTCCCCTGCCACTGGAAATCATGACTTGTTTTTCTTGTCTGTGCTCAACAATCTTTGACTACACTTCAAGCTTAAAATTATATACTATTAGGCTTGAACTTACAACAACGCACGTTTACTTGTAACATAGTGCTTATTGATTGTGTATTTAATTATTCTTGTCAGGTTTAATGCCAATCAGTCTGCATCACGACAGAAGCACTGTTCAGTTTGATGGTTGTTATAGTTTCAAATACATAAAGCAACTAGTTAATGAAAATACTGTATAATTCAATCTAAAAATATAACAAAAGTTGTTCAACTTGTATAAATAAGAAATTATTGATCTTTGAGGTGCTTCTTTTCAAAACAAAAACTGACTTGTAGGGTAACAATTCCAAACTGTAGCAAATCTATGTTTTCTGCTGTTTATGATCTTCTATCCAAATGAATAGAATCAAGAATTTCTTGATTTCATTTTAATTTCTAAAATATGAAAGTTTTAAAAGACGTTTGACTTCCAAAGTGTCAAAAGCTGGAAATTGGACCGCCATACACAGATGAAGGACAATCAAGTTGAGGAAAAGCTGATGTATATTAAGGATGTAAAAGGGGATCATGGGGTCTTGCAGTGTGGACTATTAAAGGATTTATGCAAAGACAATAAAAATGAATTTGCTTGTGTATAATAGATTCTCCATGGATTACATTAATTGATTTTATCATGCAATAAAGCTCGAAATTCCCTGTGAGTCAATTTATAAGAATTTGATTCTTCCAAAATCATAAATATGCTGGTATAAGGAGTTTAATCAACTAAATCTCTGCACATGAAGGTAGGTATGTGCTTGATAAATATGATTTGATTTAATCAACTAAATCACACATAGGTTGTACTTATGGACTTTTAGCCTTGATGTCTATGAGCATGTATATTCTCAATTTCATTACAAGCATGTGCTACTTCAATATGCAATTTGTATAAACATTCTTCTCCGCATATATCATGTTCCAAGGGACGAATTAAATTTGTGTCTTTGAAACTCAACTTCTTGGATAGCATAGACAGTTTTTACAGTAAGTTTTACACCCGTAGGCAATTATTTGCTGTGATTTGTCCAGGGAAGGATTGAAGGAGGAGGAGCAACAATCCAGGTTAGCCTCTTATTTGCTCTTTGCCATGGATACCTCTATAAGGTTATCCTTTATTGGAGAGTTTGGGAAGACTTGCTTTGTTCCTCATTCTTGTTAGACACATAATGATCTATTTCTTCCTGAGAGAACTCTCTTAGTTTCTTTTATTTCATTTCATGATTCTTCACTCTTGTTTCTCACCTCTGTCCCTCTCTCATTTAAATGTCCCTGTTTTTCCTATATGTTCCGCATTTCTAAGAAAACCAAATCATGAAACAGTATGTCAGTAGGCCCGCATCATGGCAACAATCGTATTCAAATACATGACAAAATAGGACAAAAATATTTCAGCCATTTTATTCTTGACTCATTATCATTTGTACATCAAAGAACAGAAGTTCCATTAATTCGTATAAGGAAAATGGGTTTAACAATTTATCACTATTAAACAGAATCTAGAGAATAATGCGTTTAGCAAAACAGATACAGGCAAGCATATTGTTCTCAAATACCTAGTCACCTACAAGGGGAAGAAATGAACCACGTATCAGCCTACATCACAGAACCAATCCTTACTGTTACTGTTATGCAATGCAAACGTATGAACAGATGCAGCAGCTAAACAATGGATGTGACCTCTTTCAAAAAACATTTAATCATCAAAGTCCCTTATGTGTGCCAATCAACTGGTTCACAAGATCTTTTTGTCCAGATTTTAACAGGATATCGATTACATCATCTTTGTATGGAGGTTGTAGCAGAACCGACCTCTTGAGCATTATCTTGGTCAGCTTTGTGGCCTCCGTCAGGTGGCTTCTTTGACAAAGTCCAATTAAAAGAATAGAATAAATATCAGAGTCAATGGAAGACAAGCATCCCTTATTCTCAATTGCTTCAAGCAAGTAGAATCCATCCAATACCCTGTCCTTCACAGAGAGCTCCTTTAGCAAAAGGCTAGATGCCAAAGTATCCAGTTTGACATCACCAGCAAGCATTTCCTTGAAGAGCTTCTCTGCTTCCTCCAGCTTTTTAATCCTTATCAAAGAAATCACAAGTGAACTGTAGCAATCACCATACGAAACACCATGTTCCACCGCAAATTTATCCATCAACTCATAAGCTTCTTCCACACGACCCTCAGCACAAAGGCTTTCAACAAAAGTAAAAACAGTGACATGATTTGCATTGCACCCTAAAGCTCTCATTCTATCTAGAATATCAAGTGCTTCCGTCCACTGGCCTCTCTTACAGAAACTTTGAATCACAGATGTATAAGTAACAACATTTGGAGTACAATCCCCACCTTTCTCCATTTCATCCAGCAACTCCAATGCCCTATCCATGGATCCAGACCTACACATGCCGTCTAAAATGGCCGATAAGATCACCAAATTGGGCGAACATCCATGTACTCTCATAACCTTAAGCACAGAGTAAGCATCCTCAGATCGACCTGCATGGCATAATCCCTCAACTATTGCCATATAGGTAATAAGATCAGGACAAAGACCATTAAAACTCATCTCTCTCGTTAACTTCTCGGCCATTTGAATGTCACCCTTCTTGCAACATAACCTTATAACCACATTATACATCACAGTGTCAGCATGGAGGTTGAAACTGTATTGCATCTTCCTCAACACCCACAAAGCCACATCAGCAAGCTGAGCTTCTTTACACAGCTTCAGCACCTCCCTAAACATGTTGACAGTGACTAAACATCCTTCAGCCTCATAAGAGCGAACGACATCACGAATAATGTGGGGATTGTGACGAATCCCAAGCAAGTTGCAAGCTTTCGTGTACATGTAAGCACTGTGCCTGTAGCCCGATTGAAATCCAGCCCAAACGAAAAACCTGACACCCAATTGAGGTTGTTTGGGATGGCATGAGTTGAGGACTTGGATGACACATTGAGAGTTGAGTTTTGGCTTAACCTTAGACAATGAATTCTCAAAACTGCCATTGCTTTGGTGGAGATGGGTGCAGAGGGTATCAACCGTGCCCGTTTGGTGGGTGGAGAAAGGAAGGGTTTTGACTGTGTGGAAAAGTGAGAAAAGCCGAAAATTTACAAAGTGTGACATTGGGTTAAGATGGAATGGATGAGGATCGAGGAAGGAGAAGACGGAGGCGGAGAGGGTATAGGCGCTGCGTGACGGGGGTTGAGGACTTGAGGTCAATGATTTTGTTTGGCAGAGAGAGAGAGAGAGAGAGAGAGAGAGAGGGGTATTGCCGGTCGCCACTAGCATAGCATAAGAGCGAATCTGGCTCGGCTCGGCTCGGCTCCACAGGTCAGTGCCGTGTTAAGTGGCTAACGGGTATTTTCCTTTTTAACAATGTTATTTTATTAAAAATATAAAAATATTATTATTTGGGATAATCCCAGCCAGTAGTAGCGGAAGAGTATTTAAAGTTGGAAGAAGAAAGCATGGGATAGTGGAGAATGCGAAGATTGGATTTAGAAAGAGGAAATGGCGAAATCGGGGAATAAGAATATGGGATCAACGTCTGTGTCTGTGTCTGCGTCGGCCAAAGTTCACCCTTCCAATGATCCTGAACTGGATCCCGACTCTTACGCCCTTGAGAAGTTCAGACTCTACGAAACCAGAGCGGTAATTAATTAATTAATTAATTGATGAAGTATTTTACCAAAATTAATTATAATTGTAAGCATATGGAATTGCAGAGGTTTTACCTGATAGGGAGTGATCGAAACAAGAGGTTCTTCCGGGTGTTGAAAATCGATCGATCAGAGCCGTCCGATCTGAATATCAGCCAAGACCCTGTGCTGTATTCGCCCCAGGAAATCAAGAGCTTGCTTCAGCGGATTGCTGAAGGTAACAGGGCCACTGGTGGCCTCACTTTCGTCGCTAAAGTTTTCGGAATTGCCGGTTAGTTACTATCTCTATCATATCATCAATTACGCATTCATATTCATGATATAATATATAATATCTTCCATTGCTTTTTTTTTTTTTTTTTTTTTTTTTTCCAGGTTGCATCAAGTTTCTCGAGTCCTACTATTTGATTCTCGTTACTAAGCGCAGACAAATTGGTTCTATCTGTGGCCACGCAATCTATAGCATCAAGGAGAGCCAATTGATAACCGTTCCACATGTTTCTATTCAATCTGATTTAGCTCACTCTAAGACTGAGCTCAGGTAATTCGGACCTGACCTCACCACTTCCACGCCACATCTAACAACTTCAAAACCAATTAATATTACCTCTTCTTACTACAGGTACAAAAAGCTTTTGTCTAGTGTCGATTTGACCAAGGATTTTTTCTTTAGTTACACTTACCCTATAATGCAAAGTTTGCAAAAGAATGTCTCGCCCTGTCAAGACGGAGGAGGGATGTCATATGATAATATATTTGTTTGGAATGCGTATTTGACGCAAACAATCAGATCAAGATGCAATAACACCATTTGGACCATAGCTTTAGTTCATGGTCATTTTAGGCAGGTATGTTACTTCCTTTGTGCCGTCTGTCATTGGTGATAGTTGTTATTTGTCAAATGTAAGCTTACACACTCTTATCAGAGCAAGATGAATATTTTCTGAACTTTACTATTGTTGGAACTTGGGATGGAATTAACATGTGGTTGGGTTCAATAATCAATACTCAAATAACAAAAAATATCAGCTTATTTATCTTAATGAGAGACAAGCTTTGGAGCAGGGACCTCTTGGTGCATGTTTGGAATCTGTTTGCAACAGGACTTTAAACAAAACAAAAAATAATATTTCTTGAAGAATAAGGTGTTTACATTTGATGTTTCATGGGTATAGTTTTTAAAAAAATAACAAGTGAACAAGATGCACCTTTTACAATTGCAAACCAAGAACGGTTTATTTGTCTTCAAATTTTTCCTGCTCACGACCAGTGGCATATTGTAATTAAGAAGTTTAATCAATGCTAGTTTGGTAAATTGCCAGTGGAAAATTGCTTCATTCTCCCTGTCTTGGTTTGATCACTTGGATGAGGTAGGTAGATTAATTGTAGTCCTTGCCAGCAATTCTTCTATTTTTATTTTCAGGTTTGTTCATTCATCAATCTCTTTAAGTCTATACCTTACCACACCACCATTGAATCGTTTCTGCATTCAGTGGCTTGGGTTACTGCTTAATCATATAATAATGGCCTGGTAAAAGCTTGTTTCTGTATGGATCAATTTGACGGAATTTAAGGATCCTGTATTATTTACCTTAATTCAATAATTACTGACAAGTGCTGGGATTACAGTGAGGGCTGAAAATAGAAATGTTGTTGGTTGATGAGACGGGCATGTGGTTGATGATAATTGGAAGAACCGAGAATCATCATAAAACTTGTCAAGCAAACATGTTTTGTTGCTTTAAAACTTATTTATGAAATAATTCACCCTAACATATTTTTAAGGAATGTTGATTTGCAAACCATTCTTCTGAAGTCATTTTTTAAAATACACAGACAAAAAAGTTGGAACCAAACAGACCCCTGGCTTTCTTGATTACGTTTGTCCCTTCATACAGTCAATAACAGGATTTGGTCTTTAGCTTTCATTAAGGTGTTTTCCTGTAAGTCCCATTTTATTTTTAGATTCACATATGAATTCCATTAAAGATAAAATAGGGAAAGTACTGCTATAGTGTTATAATATATGCTTCAAAATGTGCAAAGCAAGAAGGAAAGGGAAATAATCAATAATGCAGCAACTATCGGGAAATTTAGGTCATTCAATTGTGTCTTTTGATTGAAATGGTCTGCTATGCCTCAAAAGAGCTATTTTAGTATTTCATTTAATTTGTTGTCTTTTGGAAATATAATTGGTCCACATGATTATTTAGTTTCTTTATATGCATACTTAGATTTAGATACATAGACATACAGATATGCTTCGTTGCTTTTTCCCACATTTTTATCACGTGATTTTGTTGTCCTGTCAATTAGTTTAACTATCCACAGTATTTATCATTGTATAACTAATTTAGGATTTTAAAATGGCAGATTCGTCTATCAATTTTTGGGAGGGACTTCAGTGTTTCCTTGATTTCTAGACGATCAAGACATTTTGCAGGAACACGGTCTGTTTTTATTTTGTTATTTCATTCACATTTCACTCATTATACAATTGATTCAGATGTCACGAAATCATTGTGATGATTTAAATTACATAAGTATTCTCTAAGTTTTCATTATTATATTTCAATTTCATCCTTGGAAGTGGAAATTTGTAATTGTAGCCATGTTCTTTTTTAAATATATGATAGCTAACTTAAGATCGCTCCTCTTTCTCACTCTCTGTGATTGAAGGTTAATGGAACTATCCGGTACACTAAAAATATTTCCAATTTTTCATCTTATTACCGAAGCAACTTTGTATGGGATTCGAATGACTAGTCAACTGCAAATAATAGAGGTTGAGGTTGACTTGATAGAATGGATGATGGTTGTACCTCAAAAGGGAAAAAATAACATTAGAGACCATGTCAAACCATACTATAAACTGCTATTGAAGTGTTTTGTTAGATAGGGGAGGATATTCTAATGTTTCAAGATTGTACTGGTGTAAGGTATCCGTACAAGTCTTAGTCCTATCCTAAATTTGGGGTGCAAATTGATGGAGTGCAAGCCAATATATTTTTAATCCTATAATGTGTTTATTGATTGTTCGGATTGATAATTTTCTTTTTTAGAAATTCCCTCGTATGTAAATGAGTTACCTAATTCAGCATCAACAATAACCAAACTTTGTCCCACAAGATGGAGTGAACTACATCGATGATACAACAGTTAAAGATAAATACAAGTACAACACTTGTATCTAGCTCAATTTGTCATACTCAGCTGTCAATAAAGTTGCCTTGTGTCAAAATGATGATCGTATTTTTTTAATATAATTGTCACACCAATTACAAATGGATTGGGATATCCATATTTTACAATTTCTTCTCAACATTCAAGCTACCAAGGATTACCCAAATTTGTTGGAAACCTCATCAGCATTGAAGTTGACAGATTTTGGAAGTTTATTACTCATGGTATCCCAAAACATCACAGGTTTCTTAACAGTCGGAATGTTGTCCCAATGTACAGAGGAATTCTAAAATTTGGGAGTTTTTCTACAGATAAAGAAATTTTTATTAGTGAGAATATATGATATGGTGGATAAAGAAATGTTCAAAAACGGGAAAAATACAACAAGAATTACTGGCATTCTAGTCCAGCCAAATCCATTGAAAAATTGCAGAAACTGTTCATAAGTCATTGCTATATAACTTTTGCCGAAACATTTATACCAAATCATCATAAAATAGAATATAAACATTCATGGAACAGTGCAACAGCCTTTGGTGTTTTGGTTTTTTTCTGGGCTTCACTGGAAATAACTGATCTGTCCTCCCTTCAAGTTGACATGTCCCCTAGTAAATTTTTTTACAATGAGTAAGAAAAGGTGGCTTCCTGGAACCACTGCTTACAACATTATGAAGTCACTTAACTTAGGCCAAGTTAGACAAGGTTTGGCTGGAAATTGTAGTGGATCCATCCCTCCCCTGCAACTTGAAATCATCACATGGTATCTTGTCTGTGCTCAACATTCTTTAACTACAGTTAGATATTGTTAGGCTTGAACTTAGAATAATGTGCGTTTACTTGTAACACAATGCTTATTGATTGTGTATTTAACTATTCTTGTCTGCTTGGTCTGATCCAATCAGCCTGCATCATGACAGAAGACACTGCCCAATTTGATGATTGTTGCAGTTTCAAATGCATAAAGCAACTAGTGGATGAGAAAACTGTATAATTCAGTCTGAATATGACAAAAGTGGTTAATAGAATCCAAAACAAAAAATGACTTGTAGGGAATAAAAAATGATTGCAAAAAATGAATAGAATAGAAAACTGTATAATTCAGTCTGAATATGACAAAAGTTGTTAATCGAATCCAAAAGCAACTAGCGGATGAGAAAACTGTATAATTCAGTCTGGTGTTTATGCTCTTCTATCCAAATGATTGCAAAAAATGAATAGAATAAAAAATTTCTAGTTAGATTTCTAAAAACATGAAAGTTTTAAAAGAAGTTTGACTTCTAAAGTGTTAAAACCTGGAAATTGGACCATCACATGCATATATGGAGGACAATCAGTTTGAGGAAAAGCTGTAAAAATAGGGATCAAGGGGTCTTGCTATGAGGACCATTAAAGGATTTATGCAAAGACTGTAAAAATAAATCTGCTTGTGTATAATAGATTCTCCATGGATTACATTAATTGATTTTATCATGCCATAGAGATGAAAATTTCTTGTATATCATTTTATATGTATGTGGAGTTTAATCAATTATATCTCATCACATGAAGGCAGTTTGTGGTAGGTTGTACTTTTTATGGGCTTTTAGCCTCGATGTCAGAGCATCTACATCCTCAAATTCATTGCACGCGTGTGCTACTTCTATGTACAATTTGTATAAACATTCTTCTCTGCATATGTCATGTTCTGAGTGACAAATTAAATTTGTGTCTTTCAAACTCAACTTTTTGGTTAGTATAAAGACTTTATACAGTAAGTTTTACCCCCATAGGAAATTATTTGCTGTGATTTGTCCAGGGAAGGATTGAAGGAGGAGGAGCTAAAAACCAGGTTAGCCTCTTATTTGCTCTTTGCAATGGATACCTCCTCTATAAGGTTATCCTTTATTGGAGAGTTTGGGAAGATTTGCTTTGCTCCTCATTCACATTAGCCACATTATGATCTCTGTCTCTCTTTCTTCCTGAGAGAATTCTCTTAGTATTTTTTTTTCTTTCATGATTCTTTGCTCTTGTTTCTTATCTCTGTCCCTCTCTCATTTAAATGTCCCTGTTTTTCCTTTATGTTCCGCATTCCTAGTTACTCTAAAATATTGTGTTTGAGACTGCCTTTATCTGATGCCAACTCAGTCATTGCCTGAACTCGTGTATGTTTTATTTTTCTCCTTTTCACTCCTCTCTCATGATACATATTACACGACTGTTCTCTTCCTTCCTCTTTTGATTAGTCTCATGCTCCTTTCCATTACCTTGATCTGTTGATCATAACTGCTTGTTTTAAAGGAACATGCATATTGCTCTTTATTTATCCTATGTAATGTTGAATTGGTCTGGAAAAGAAATGAGTTCATTTCTCTAAAAAAAAATTATCTCAATATGTTCCTTGCTGGGTAAATGTGCTTTTTTGAAATAATTAGGTAAACTATTATTTTTGTGTTTCACATTTTCCTTCTTTTAGTACATGTAGGTTTCATTCTTTAGTTTTGTATTTTTTCTTGGTAGCCCATTGTTTCCAACTTGTTTACCAAATTTCAGTTATTTGCACTTTGTAAAAAAGGTGTAGGCTTTGCATTGTTTGATGTCATTTAATGTAATGATTAGTATTTAGTATCATATTTGTTGGCGTGCTTATATGCTTTGCAAAGAATCTCTAATGTGATGAGTTATGTGGCACTGGATTGTTTTTCAATTTTTATAGAGCTTATCATTACTATTATGGCAGGGGAGACTTCTACTCTATATTAAATAAGTTGCTCCTAAAATATAATTTGTTATCATATTTTAATTGTTCTCATTTCTCAAGTGTTATGTTCTGTAGGATAGTTGATTTTACATTTTACACTGGTTTCTGGACAAAAGTTTTTGCTTTTGTGGCCTATCATCTAGAGCAGATAGTAGTCCATTGTACACTATTGGTTGAACATTTGCTTGTTGATGTTTGTTTTCTTCATATTTAGCAGTCATATTTGTTATCATATTTATGCTGGTTGAATTGGAATATATAGCAGTCATTAAACATGAAATATTCTTCGATATCATGAATTATCTGTATTTTGCAATGGTATTTGATTTTACACTCTGTCTATCTGACTGGCTATAATATTAATGGTTAGATTAATTTTCTTTGTCATGATTTGTTTCTGCAGTTACTTGAAAAGGGGAGTGAATGATCGGGGGAGGGTTGCTAATGATGTTGAGACAGAGCAGATTGTCCTTGATGAAGAAGCTGGCTCTTGCAAGGGCAAAATGAGTTCAGTTGTGCAAATGCGTGGATCAATACCACTTTTCTGGTCACAAGAAGCATCAAGATTTAGCCCTAAGCCTGACATAATTTGTATGAAAATAATTAATATTTATCCTGTTCATTGTTAAATTTTATGCTGTTATAATACATCTAATACATCTAGCCCTCTTTTGACCTCCCCCCCCCTGTTTCGACTTCCAGTGCAGAGGTATGATCCAACATACCAAGCAACAAAATTGCATTTTGAAGACCTTGCTAAGAGATATGGCAATCCAATTATTGTTCTTAATTTGATTAAGGTAATTACTCAAATAAAAATTGTTGGTGCTGAAATAACAAATATCAATTTGTATGTTATTTGATTTCATTCCTTTTTTCTTTAGCAAGGGAACTTGCTTCTGTCTATATGACTTCCCATTGGAAATCTAAATTTCAATCTAGCACCTTTTCCTCCTTCATAACATCTAATTATAAATGGAAACAACCAATGATGTAAAAGAAATGATTAATACACAGCCAAGCATGGTAGAATTCTTTTCCAACAGTCTTTAGCTGTGAAACCTCTTTAGGATAGAATTATTTTTTTGTTTCTTCATGCTAATGCTTATAATTTGCCTTTTTCCTTTGTTTTCTTCTAGGAGGACCCTTGATCCTACTCTTGTATTCTGCTCCTTTCAATAAATTATTTTATTGAAAACTACATAATTTCATTATTATCCCACTTACCAAGTAGCTTAGATGCATTGTAAGTTTGTAATGTAGGTAAATTTTTGAAAATTATTAGCCCATGATTTTTTCTCGTAAATTTTTTGTAATTATTATCTATGTAATCTGCATGTGTATAAATATTTCTCTGATTAGTGCTTATTTCACTCCCAAACTGTCTCAATACTCATACAAATATTCCAATGTAAAATCTCAAATTGTTATCTGAGTGGGTTAATCCCACCTCTGCTGCACACATTAGGGCAGCCTCTGTTTAGGTTAAAATCTCAATTCCAAGTCCATGTCTCCTTGGACTTGGTTCATCTGTCACATCCCCAGAACATTTTTAGCCAGAACCTAAAGTCTGATCACTGAAAAAGCTGCCACACTCCACCTTTTGAATTTCCTTCATCTAGCATGCAAGAGCCATACATCATCCTGTCCATTGGCCGGTTTTCAACACCACCGGGAGCATTCTATTCATTGGACTTTCTTGAGTTTATTTGGGGGCTTGTTTTCTCCTTTTGATCAGACTTGAGCAGTGGGTACAAAAATTATCAAGTGCCTATGTTGGCATGGTCTCTGCTACATCTCCATTCTGTATTCTTTCTCTACAGCCAGACCATATGCCAAGAGGTGATGGTAAATCTGGATCTAATGTAGGTGGTGTTTCATGTTTGTGCATTGTATCTTTGTCATATGGTCTATCAAATTTGTTGAAATTTATTATAGAGATGTTTTGTTGCAGAGTACTATCATCAGCCCCTAATATTACAATTTTTAGCATACTTCCTTTAGTAATAGAGAACTGAAATCCTATTGGCCCCTAGTTTATCAGATTGTTTTTTTTCCTATGTTGTTTTGCATTTTGCTCTTTCCTGAAGGAGTATTCATCATCCTCCCAACTCTTTCTAATTTTTTTTCTCTTTGCATTAATGAGTTGCTTCTTTTATAAAAAGAACATAATTTATACTTGTAGCTCACTTAAATGATGAAATGCAGACAGTTGAGAAACGACCTCGAGAAATGATGCTTAGGCGTGAATTTGCAAGCGCTGTTGGGTATCTAAACCAAATTCTACCAGTCGAGAACCATCTTACATTTATTCAATGGGACTTTCACAAGTTTGCAAAGAGGTAAGCATATTATGCTTTATCTTTTTGTCTCACAGTAGCAGTCTCTTCATTTTCCTTTTCCTGCATTTCAATTTAAATCTGATTATTCTCTATTCTTCTATGCCATTTTCAAAGCAAGTCTGCCAATGTTTTGGCAGTTTTAGGAGCTGTAGCAAGTGAAGCGCTTGATTTAACTGGTTTTTACTACAGTGGTAAACCCAGTATCATAAAGAGGGCCAACAAGAGCAATCGAACGAGTACAGGGAGGTATGGTCCATCATTGAAATTGTTACTTAACATTCAATACAGTCTTTTTCTTATTTTTAATGCTAGTTATAGTTGAATCATAACTCTTAACTTGAAAAATATACTTCTTTAATAACCAGTGTTTATCTAACCATGCCCTTTGTATGCAAAAAAGCAACGATTTGAAAAATGCAGGGGTATGTGATAGGAGACCCGTGGTTAAACGGGTATATGTGAGGAGGGGAAAGGGAGGCAGTTAGTTATTTTTAATAACTAACTGATAACAGGCTGTAGGGACGGGGATATTGTATAAATAGGAGAACGTAAGGGGAGAGGGGGTGTGGAATAATATTGTAATTTGGGAGAGCGGGCATTCTCGAATTTGCCTAGTGTACTGAATCGATTGGATGATAGTGTGGTTCAGGAAGGGGACCAATAATATACTTGCAGACATTTTTTGCTCTGTTCATTCCTTCAATTTTCTCTTTCAATACCAGTAGATTCTATCAGTATGTGACGTTTTCCCCCCTCATAACTTCTGTTATGAGGTTGACTTTGACCACCTGCTGCTGTAGAGCCCTCTCTGTTATATATGCTCTTTCCACAGTTAAGGGATATAGAACTAGAAGTCTCCATTAAATTCATAAATGAATAAGTTCATATCTTTTTGTTTAATTTTTTTTTAATCTTATCTTATACTTCTAATGCTTTCCTGTATTTTCTATTTTTGGAATTTGAACCAGAAGATTGCTTTGGGTGATGTATTTGTCTTTTTGTTTGTTTTTCTTCAGTTTTAGATTATTTTGGGAAAACTTGACTTGGTCTGTAATGAATAATGATGATTGCTGACAACAATGGAAAGCTAGGTCTTAGTATCGATGCTACCCAAAAAATAATAACATCATACCAGTAGTCAAATATCCATGTTATCTCTGCTCTAAGGGCTCTTAAGCCTAGGCTCCATTTGGTAAAAAATTGTAGTTTAAAACTGTAATTTGATTCTGGTGTTATATTTGGATTGCACAAATATTATAAAATAAAATTGTAATCCTACATTTAAGTCTATATTTTGATTAGATGTATGATTTATATTTTAGAAAAACACATTATATTGTTGCCATAACTTTAAAATTAAATGCACAAATAATTCATTGAATATTTTATTTTGATGGTGGTAATGGTGGTAAGGTAACAGCATTTGTGGTGGTAACAATACCAATAAAGGCTCCAATGAGCAAAATGGAGAATATTAGAGATGTAATATAAAATCATTTGTGTCTTCACCTAACTTGAGATTTTGGGATAGTTAGTGCATGAAATGGTATTAGAGTCTCTATGATCAAGAGTTATATCCCTCTCACCCTTATTCTTGAAGTAAAAAAAATTGAATTTCAAGACAGGCTCTGTACATTGTGCACTCTTCGAGTCCAAAAAGCTTTTTGTTTGAGGGGTGTGGTAAAGATGTGACAATCATTTTTGTGTCTTAGCCTAACAATTTAATTTAAGCTTTTAAGATGGTTCATGGCAAATCAAATAGAAGTTAATTTAATAAAAAAGATTAGAGGAAGACCTATGACAACGTGATGATAATGCATTGAAAAGGCCTAACTCTGAACGGTTTATTATTATTATTATTGTTATTATTGTTATTATTATATTTATTATTATTATTATTATTATTATTATTATGGAGGAGAATGACATCAATTTTGATCAATATAGACTAGCAGCTGGTCACACCTAGTCAGATAAGCTGTGATTGTTGTTTGTTGATTCCAGTGTTATTTCTGGGTGATTCTTAACTTTACTGAACATTTCTTGCAGTTTTAGTTTATAGTTGTAAAAGTGCAAAATGTTGCTTTAGTGAAAGGAAGTTCTATTTATATTTTCAACTTGTTATGTATTTTTATAGGGATACTTCACTAAGAGATCTGAGAGCTAGTTCTGGAGATCTGAGGATTGGGAACAGTAATGAAATGCTAAATTCTGTGGTTAATCGAGACAGAGAGACTGACATGAACCATCAGAATACAAAAGATAATTTTAGTAGTGATGCACCACATTTTCAAAGTGGAGTTCTCCGTACCAACTGCATTGACTGCTTGGACCGTACAAATGTTGCCCAGTATGCATATGGTCTTCAAGCTTTAGGGCGCCAGCTCCATGCAATGGGTTTGACTGACATGCCAAAAGTGGATCCTTATAGTAGTATTGCTGCAGCTCTAATGGACATGTATCAAAGTATGGGAGATGCTCTTGCCCAGCAGTATGGTGGTTCTGCAGCTCACAATACTGTATGACATATTTAATGGGATTCTAAATTTATCTAATCTGCTGGAAAAATATCTATTCTGCTTATTTGTGTCTTTTCTGGTGTTATTGTGATATATGTATATATATTTTGGTGAACAACAGGTATTTCCAGAGAGGCAGGGAAAGTGGAAAGCAACAACACAATCAAGAGAGTTTTTAAAATCCATAAAACGATACTATAGCAATGCTTACACAGATGGTGAAAAACAAGATGCAATAAACTTGTATTATTCCTTCCACCTATTTTATCTTAATAGTTTTATTGTCCTTTCCTAGATGGAATTTACAGTTCATTTTTAGTAAGATTTAATATATTTTAGGTTTCTAATGTTCAAATACTCTCCCTTAATTGCTCCAGTCCTGAATAAATAATAAGTAATTTTTAAATATTTAAATCGTTGTTTTATTGCCAGATTTTTAGGTTACTTCCAACCACAGGAAGGGAAACCTGCTCTCTGGGAGTTGGATTCAGATTATTATCTCCATGTTTCTGGGATTGGGGATGATCTAATTCCTGAGAGGTGGTGAGTCCTCCTAGTTAATAAGACTGGTATTAAAATTTAAAATCCATCACTGACCTGCTTCTATGTATATTACAGTTGGCATTGGTTTTCTCTCTCTCTCTGTCTCTCTCTCTCTGTCTCTCTCTCTCTCTCTCTCTTTGTGTACATATATTTATTGTTTATTTTACCTATCAATCTTCCATTTCTTTCTGAATATTGCAGTTCTGAACCAAATCTCAAGCCTTCTGGAAGAGGTGGAACAGTATTCACCCCTATACCAGCTTGCAGAGAAGACTTCTCACGCATAAAGTTGACATCATTTGACAAATTAATTGAAAAAACCTGTAGTACAATTAAAAATGTAAGACTATGCTGTGAACCTGATCAAAGACCAGGTGGGGGTTCTGGAAACAGTGGTGTAGCACCTGATGCAGCGTAATTTCTCTTGCTATGAATTTCTGTTTAATGATTTTACTTCTCAGTGTTATTCTCCTTTAATACATTGCTGCCATTTTTCTCATTATTTTTTATGTGCATATGTAAATACTAGAATTTTTCCTGCCATTCCATTATAAAACCATGTTCCTGTAGCTTTGCTTCTTAACACTTGCTTCACTGACGGTTTTTCTTTGATTGCTTTCCGCTTGCCTATTACATTTTTGTAATTTTGAGAAGCTTACAGTGTGTTTGGTTAAGATTTTAACCAACACTGGTTAAGATTTTAACTGACACAAATAGGGAAAAAGTTGGATTCTCAATGCACTTTTCACAATTTTCAGTAGCATTTACAGAAGTTTATTATTCCTTTTGCTCAACTCTTACGTTGAACAACATCTCATACAGACAAGCCATTAATCAGTACCATTGTTAGTATGGTAGAAGAGAATCTCTTTTACCTGTTAGAAACTCCATTTTTAGGTCAATGTAAATTCGTTGCTTCCAAAATTGTTTGAACCAGTCTTATACTTAGTTGCACTTTTTTGCTTTAAAGTTTCACAATTTTGCAAATTCGCCCCCTTATATACAAAATATCACGAATTATGCCTCCATGAAGAAAATTGTGGCATTTTAAAGGAGTTGTCACAAAATTGTCTTAATTGTGATTGTTTTTCTAAGGGCAAGATTTGCACAAAAATTCTGTGAGCAAAATTTGTAATTTAGCTTATATATATATATATATATATTATTAAACTTGTATAATTAATTTCTTATTAATTTAATTTTTATATGCAATAAATAAAAATATGTAAAATATATTTTTAAATTGAATCGAGCTAACGAGCTGAACTTAAACTGTTCATGAGCTTGAATTGAGTTGAGTTTAAATTGTAAACAAAAATCATATCAAATGCAAGTCAAGCTTCGAGTCGAGTTGAGCTTGGTATCAACTCGATCCAATTCATTTCTAACCTTACTTGCTTAAACTTGGTTGATGTGTTGGTCCCCTTCTTCCCTAATCATTTAAATTCTCATTTGGATGGGAAATAGTGGGCAGAGTGTCTGACTAGTGAGAGAAGCAAAAGCTATTCTGTGCTCTTGGTAATTTGAGATGATTTTGTTCAGTCACTTATTGTCTGTTGATTCGCAGTGAGATACAGCTCAAAAGCCCAAATTGGCTTTTCGGCCAGAGAAAGTATGAAGAGGGTTCCTCTGCTTCAAAAGTTGCTTCTCGTGAAACTGATGTTGAAGGATCTCATGCTAATGGCTTTTGTGACTTGAATTGGCTATCCTCGGGCAATGATATGAATGAAGAGGACGTTTTCCAAAGGTATGTATCTAAAAAGGGCATCATCCTTGCAAAACTTTGATGGACCTTCCATTTTACCCTTTGATGTTCAGTATCCCATTTGGTCATTTTCCTATTGGCAAACATTTGCACTCTTGGTCACCACTAACCCATTTATATTTTTACATGGGGCATTGTGATTTGTTGAATCTTTAGACAGAATTGAGCTATGCTGATTAACAGACCAACCTTAGTGCATTTGAATTTGATATGTAAAGTAGAGAATTTGAGCTGTTACTATTTTATGACCACATATAATTCTAAACTTGGTTAATTTTCTGTAATCAGCAATAACCATCTTAGTAGAACGATGTCGTGTGATCCATGTAGCAGATCTCACCTACCCAAGTGGGGTAGGCTAACGCTTTGTTGGTTTAAATTATGATTCATGAAGGAAATTTCTTTAAAAGTTAAGTGCATGTCTTGGATCTACTATACTCAAAAAGTAACTGAAAACAAAAGTATCAATTTATTCCTACTAACTATTATTCATTGGTTGAGAATTCTGTGTTGTCCGTTTGGAGGCATATTACCATTGTAGACAGTCCCACATTCTTTGTTCTCATTTGATGCCTTTAGTTTGTTCTGTTTACAGATGATTCTCATTTTATACTCTTAATTTTGTAGGTACCTTACAATGACCTCAACAAACGAGGCCAACGGTTGGTATGGAGGTAGTCTCCTTGGTGATCAAGATGAAAGCAGTGAGATATATAAACATTACGCCGAGTTATGCCAGGTATGTACTTTAACGTGAATAGTGATCATGCTTACACTTCTTTGAATCTTGACTTGTTGTATGAAGAGCTAACCATTGCTTTTGTCAAACAAAGCGATGTAATAGAGGTACAGACCTCTACTTAACTTTAACTTGATTGGTATGTTAGGTTTCTAATAGGGACTGAAACTTGTATTGAAATAATATAGAGAACTCGGAGAACTGAGCTTTGATTACAATGGATATGAGCATAAAATTGTGGAAACTGTAAAAGAAAGAAATATTCTGATAAGAGAGACCACTCTGCCCAATGGCAAACGTCACCCAGAATGACAAAATATAATGACACACCTTTTAACCCCCCTCCCCTTCACACCCACGCTCCTTTGCATGATTCCATACATCTTTGCTTATTAGGACCAGCTCAACATATTGATAGGCTTAAAAGAAATTTTAAAGTAGGTTTTTTTTTTTTAATTAATAATATCTTTTAATAAAAAAATAAAAATGTTTTAGACATGAGTCTTTCAAAATAATTATATTTGTGTATCTTTTAGAGATATACCTTTTAGAGTGACTTTTTAACAATATAAAAAGTAACTTTTGAGTTATAAGTCTTGAAAAATCATATAAATATTAATGTAAAAAAATTCTTTTTTGAAGGGAACTCAAAACAACGATTTTATTTGCCTTATGGTTTGGCCGACTCTGTCTCTGTTGCTTACAATGCTCTTATGACAACTGTCCTTTCTGTTAGAAGCCTCCACTGCCCCACAAAAACAATTCCTATTCCCAATTACGCCGCATTCCTTTTCTTCTTTCTCTTGTAGACATTAACTGGAGGCCCAGTTGTGGGCGCATTAGTTGTCTTCATCTTTTTTGGGGCAAAAAAAAAAATTGTTACTGACCAACCTATTTAGTGAAGTTATTGTATACTGTACAGTCACATGAATGTTCTTTTAAGAATTCCCTTTTTAGTTTGGTATTGAAAATAAATTTATATAATCCCACCCCCCAACCTCCCGAAAAACAGAGTTGTGATGGATCTTCTTGGTGTTGTGGACCGGTGGCATCCAAGGTCTGACTCTCGTCAAGTTCTAGTTGTGTAACCCAATATGCAAGAAATATATAAAGTAAAACAAATATATATGAAATGGAGCAGATAAAAGAACATCTAGGGTGTCCTGTGTTATTCTTGTGCATGTATTGCTGCCAAAATGTAGTTTTTACCCACATCGTCCTTGGCATATGCAGGGACCTGCCTTGGAACTTTTCCAAAATGACCCCGAGAGGGAGCAACACTACGCAGGTGCTTTAAGCACAAGTTCATATGAAATTGTTAATGATGCTACTGTTGCAGCCGAAATGGAAGCAGCTCTAAAGGAGTATGACCAAGTCGGTTCTGACCTCGGGATCATTCCCATGTCTTGTAAATTCTTTGCTGATGATCCCAGCTGGCTGACGAGATGGTTAACTGGGGAAGAAAAAGTACCTAGGTTATGATGGGTCATTGTTTTGGCATGTATAATTTGAACATATATTTCTGTACAATTTTAACTCGTTGATTCGTATACAAAAGTCATTGTCAATATTCATATCAATCGTCGGGCTTTAGATTTTTTTTTTTTTGTATATTTAATTTAAGTACATTTTGTTCTCTATAGTTTGTCCTAATTAGTTCCCAAACTAGAAGTGTAATTTTTGGTCTTATAGTTTCACAGGTTTAGGTTTTGTTTCCTATAATTTTCACTCTATTTAGTTATTTTTTCTTTCAATTTTATTCTATTTAAGTTTTGATCCATGGTATAGACATTGGTTCTAATGATCAGCCAGTCTTTGAAGGGTAAATGTTTTGGCATTGATAGTATGGATTAAAGCCAAAAGATTTAAAATTGCAAGGATTAAAAAATATTTTTTTAGAGATCAAAATTAAAATATTACGCCACTAAACGAATGTTGAATTTTTTTTATACCAAAAAATCTAAAGGAAGCATATATTAGATTTGTTTCATTTTTATTTATTTATTTATTTATTTTTGTTTACTTGATTTTTTTAATATTAATAATTATATAAATTATGTTGTTTCTAAGATGTATGACAAAAATGATTAAAATAGTATTTCTATTGTTTTACAATTTGAAGGAATGTCATTAACTCGAGGAAATCAAATATACCTATATGATATATTTCATTTATACATGCTTATAAATAAAAATATAATTTTTTATATAGAAATTCAGTTAATTTCATTTTTGTTTGAGCTTGATCGATTTTCAAATTTAGATCTAAATATTTGCAAATTAATTAATATTTTCTTTTCTTTTCCTTTTCCTTTTTTTTGGCTTGGTTTTAATTGAGTTGTTTCAATTAATTTGAGCACTCTTGGCTATCATAATTGACTAAATGTTTGATTGTGAGGAGAGAAATAAATAAGAAATATGATAATAAAAAAATAATAGAAGAAAGAGACATAAGTAGATAGATAGAAATAAGGTGAAACTAAAGTTAATTAGTTTGAGAGAAATAAGTAAGAAATAAAAGAGAAATAATATTATAAAGTTTAGTTTGAATCGATGAAAAGAAAAAAAAATAATTAAAAAACTATAATTTTATCCTTCTATATTATGAGTAATTTTTTTAAAATTTTTATTTATTATTTATTTGAATAAACAAAACATTTATTTATTGCATTTGAATAATATGCATGTTATTTGAATACAATCAAATAAATATACCAAAATAGTTGTTTATTCAAATAAACAACATGCTTATTTAATAAAATAACCTTTAGGAAGTTGTTTTATTTGAGTAAGTAACAATAAATAATAATTCCAATAATATTTTTCTTTGATTGCATTCAAATAAATAACATGTTTATTCGAATAAAACAAACAAGATAAATGAATCCAATTTAGGGGTGTTTATAGGTCAGGTGATTCGGATTTGGATAAAAATCTAATCTAAATCAAATAAACTTAATTGATTTGAATTGGTTTGGATATAATAATTTTTTTCTTGCTTAACTTAAACTGAACTAATCTGATGTTGATTGTGTTGCTTTGGTTTGGGCATCTAATGAATTTTTAAAAAAATTAAATTAATTTTTTTCCTTGAAGTAAATATATTTTTAACATTAATTAAATTAATATATTGTCAAAAATTAACTAAATTAATTGATAAATTTGTAATATAATTTTTCTTGATTTCATTTCTTAATCTACTTAAAATGTGTGAAAATAATTTTCAATATATTGTAATGTAGTTCTTAATTTATTCAAATATTTGAAGAAAGGAACGAGAAAATCTCCGTATTATAACACAAAAAATGTCTTCAAAATAAACAAAATGATTCATACATATTAATCTGAGATTACATTTGCAAGCCTCATAGATGTTTGTAGGGGATCTCCCATGGTAATTTTAGGGATGCAGATCCATTGTGCTATAGTGAATAAGGGTCTTTTATGTGGTAGAGAATACTTAGGGACCTCTTTGTTAGGCATTCACAAAGGCTTGCAGATGCAAACATTCTTTTCTCAGAGTTTTATAACCTTGAAAGCACTGTAATGTGGATCGCTTTAATTTCAGGACATACTCAAAATAAGTGTAGTGATGTGGCCTTAAACTTGTATCGAGAAATGCTTGACAACATCTAACCTGACCAAGCAACGTTTGTTACTGTTGTTCGTGCTTGTGCTCTCTTATCCTCAATGCATGATGGTAGAGAGATACCTTCTCTAGTTTTTCATATTGGTTTTTACTTAGATGAGTTAACCAACAATTCCCTAATATACATGTATGCAAAATGCGAGGATGTAAAAAGTGCTGCTCATGTTTTTGAAGAATTGGCTATTAAAAAGGATGTGATTTATTGGAATTCAATGATAGTTGGATTTGCCAAAAATGGTTATGCAGAAAATGCCTTGAAAGACTTTGATAAGATGACTCAATCGTGCATTAACCCAGATGATGTCACATTCCTTGGAATGCTTACCGCTTGTAGCCATGTAGGGTGGGTTTATGAGGGTCGTCAAATTTTAGACATCATGGTAAACTATTATGGCATTGAGCCTAGAGTAGATCACTATGTTTGTGTGATTGATCTTCTTGGTAGGTGGGGTTTTCTTAAAGAAGCTGAAGAGTTCATTGACAAAATAGGAGTTGAACCCAATGTTATAATTTGGGCCAATTTATTGGGTGCTTGCAGAATACATGGGGATGAAAAAAGGGAACAAAGGGTTACTAGGAAACTTATTAAGTTAGAATCGCAAAAGTCTTCTCTTTATGAATTGCTTTCTAATATGTTTGTTGCATTAGGACAATGGGATGGGATGAAGCAAGATCTTTGAGGAGAAAAATGATAAATAAAAAAAAAAAGACACCCAAAAGATGTTGAACTGTAGCTGGATTGTAGTGGGGCAAAAGACAAACTTATTTGTTGCGGGTGATATATCAAATCCTATTTATGATGAAATTTCACAAGCTTTAAAGCATCTGACAACACTAACTAAAGACAACAGATTCCAGGACGATGGAATTTCCTGGGTTGGCCAAATTTAGCTAATCAATATGATCAGAACTCATGTGATCAACTCAGATTTGTTTCCTAACACAAAAAACATTGCATATATATCTTATAAGGGAGGGGGGAAATGAAAAGAGGGGAAAGATGGATATTGTTGGAATTCAGAAAAAATTAGAAGACTGAAACTCATATATTTTTATTCATACTTGCAACCTATTAAATACACAATTAAAGCTGATACAAATTCTGCTCATAAACATAAAATTAAATGACAAATGTAAATACTCATAAAAGTGTAACAACACCCAAGGTTGTCAATCTCGAGAGTTTACGTAATCTCGTGGAGGCTCCGTAAACTCGTAAGAGATTACTCAATAATAAATAAATAAATAAATAAATAAAAATAACATAATAATTAATGTGTTACATCAATTATTAATATGTTATGTCAATTGTCTATGTGATATATTAGTAATTAATATAAATATAAATACACGTTGAAAACTTTTTTAGATTAAGGATATTTCTGTATGAAAAAAATAGGGGTGAAAGTGCAAAAATTATGGGCCGTGTAAACAGCATTGATGAGCCCACTTAAATTCGGGGCCAATATACAAAACTAGCCCATCAAACCTGATCCAACGAGACACGACCGGTGTGCATCCTGAACCGGGTTTAACGAACAAAATTGCAAGAATCGAAGAAGTTAGAAGCTAGTTAGATCAAACATCTAAATAGAGATCGGAGAAGAAGAAGAGAAGAGAATGGGAACGACGGTGGCGGGTCTAGCACCGGGTCTGTCACGGAAGCTGAAGAAGGTTCTAGAATCGAGGATCGACATGTCTGATCTCTTGTCTTCGCTCAACTCGCGCAGACCAGGTGTTCCGCTCGCAGTGGAGTCGCGCGGACCAGGTGTTGCGCTCAAGGTGGAGTCGCGCGGAGGGGAGAGGAGACTCGCGGAGGTGTCGCGTGGAGAGGAGAGAAGATGCGCGAAGGTGTCGTACGAAGGAGGTGAGGCGCGCGGAGGAGTCACACAGAGGAGGTGAGGCGCACAGAGGATTGAAAAAAAAAATGGTGATCTCTTAATATTGGAGGTAGTCTCGCGAGTTTACACGAGTTTACCGAGTTCACCGAGATTGCTCCGAGTTCACTAAAAAACGAGTTTACCTCCGAGTTGTACATGTATGCTCTTGTAAACTCGTAAACTCGTACGAGTTTACGAGTTGTCACTAGAGATTGACAACCATGACAACACCTATAATTCCTATAATTAAAATTCATAATTGTAGAAATTTTAATAATGCTCCATTAATCTGAAATAAACTCAAATAATAGATGCTGATTCATATTCTCAATACTCTTCCTTGTATCAGTAACTATTAACTCCAAGTTTTCCTCTCAAGTTCTCAAACTTTTCTTTTGGAAGTGTCTTTGTGAAGATGTCTGCCAATTGATCTTCTGTCATTCAATTTAACTCCTCCTCCTGTTTTTGAATACCATTTGTTGGAATTTGTCATATCAAATACATCTTGCATAAAAGTGTGACCAAATTTTCCATGTCAAACATTACTCTCATCAATTTTACCAATAAAATCATGATTTTCAATCAAATCAAATTTTAAATAAAAATCGTTTTTGGTCATCTCAATCTTTGCAATCTCTAAACCATGTTCATCCATGATAAAACAATAATTCTCTTTAAAAGAGACTCCATAACCATTCCTTAACATTTGTAGAACACTAAGAACATTTTGATCCAATTTTGGAAAGTAGAGAACATCTTTAACAATTAACATACCTTTCTTGGTTACAATAGAAATTGTTCCTTTTCCATTTGCTTGTACAATTTCACCATTTCCCATCTTGACTTTTGACTCAATTGATTTGTCAATGGAGGTAAAAAATGATAAATATTTAAGTCATGTGACTAGTGCAACCACTGTCAATGAGCCAAATATTCAATTCATGTGAATTGAATTCTTGAGATGCCATAAATAAATACTCATCTTCATCATCATTTTTTTCTTCAATCACATTTGTCTGTTTTTCTAGTTGTTGTTCAGGCTGGTTTTTCTTTAATCTGCAATACTTTTCACTGTGACCATTTTTATTGCAAAAATTATAGTGAAAAAGTGATTTATCTTTAAATCAACAATCTTCTTCAGAATGGTTGGTTCTTTGGCAATGAAAACAAGACAAAAAATTTCCTTTTCTCGAAGAACCTTCATCTTTTCCTTTGTTCTTATTGAAAGTTCATGACTTTCCAAAATTCCTTCCATTGTGTTTTGCTCGAAAGGCACCTTCAATAGCTTCATCACTTCTAATGGATACTATTTGCTCTTGTGCGTGAAGCTTGCTAGTCAATTCAATAATTGTGAGGGTTTGCAAATCACTAAACTCTTCAATTGCAGAAATCTTAGCTTCAAATCTTTCAGGCACTGAAACCATGCTTTTCTCGACAACCTTTTGATCTGTAAATGATGTTTCATCAAGAAGTCGCATTTGGTTCACAACATCCATTAATCTGCCAGAATAATCTTTGACAAATTCATTATCCTTCATCTTCATCAATTCAAATTCTCTCTTCAATGTGAGAAGTCTAACAGATTTGACTCTGCTATTGCCTTCAAATTCATCTTGAATCATGTCTCACACCTGTTTAGGTGTTTCTAAGTCCATGATTTTAATAAAAATATGATCTGCAAGTCCTACATGTAAACAAGTGATGGCTTTATCTTTCTTCAGCTTCTCCTCCTCATAAGCTTTAATTTGTGTAATGGTTAAATTTTCTCTTAATGGTGGTGGATCAACCTCAGAAATTACAACATTCCATAAACTTTGAGATCTTAAAACAAATTTCATCTTGACGGCCCAAATATGATAATTTTTACCATTAAACATTGGAATTGGAGTGATTTGATAGAAATAGACATCCTCACACCAAAAATTGTTTAAACAATAAATCACTCAATTTAGTGTTTACATTCAACCTCAATGTGTTTAGCGCTCAATAAAATTTTCCTCACAGCCCGTAAGAAGCAAGCTCTTGATACCACTTGTTGGAATTCAAAAAAAATTAGAAGGTTGAAACTCATATATTTTTATTCATACTTGCAACCTTTTAAATACACAATTGAAAGCTGATACAAATTCTGCTCATAAACATAAAACTAAATGACAAATGTAAATACTCATAAAAATGTAACAGCACTTATAATTCTTATAATTAAAATTCATAACCGTAAAAATTCTAATAATACTCCATTAATCTGAAATAAACTCAAATAATAGATGTTGATTCAAATTCTCAACAGATATACTTATAACTTTCCTTTGTTTTATTTTTAATATGTTTCTTATGATTTTTAACCATGATTTTTTTCCCTAGAGAATACATGCGGGTTTGTGCTAAATATATGTATTTGACAAATTTTAAAAATATACTTCCTACAACTCTAGAATATTAGTTAAATTTAACAAACATAAAAAAATTTGTGGGTCTCCACTTCTTATTTCATGAGTTTTAATTAATAATTTATAATTTTTAATAAATTTTAACTAGAGGAGTGTCAACTATAGACTTTTTATTATTGGTTAAAATTGATTGAAATTACAAAATTATGAGTGAAGCTCATTGCCTCATAAGTTTTTAAGAATAAATGAACATATGATTATATATACAATTATCTTTAAATGGTTAATAATGTTATGCAAATATTTTAATGTCTAATAGTGATTAACTTCAACTCATAAGTGGTCAATAGTGTCATGTGGTTATTGATCATCATAATATGACTAACTTGTTCTCAAGTAGCTAAGATCAAATGAACTAGATAATATACAGTTGTGATGTTTAATAGTAGTTAAGTTTTTTTTTTTTTAAGTAATTTATAGTTTTAAGTAATTGATAGTGTGATGAAGTTAGTAGTTAGCCATGTGAAAAGAATGCCAGCATAAAAGAGGTCCCTAAGAATTTACTACTGCATAAAAGACACTCTTCTTCACTATAGCACAGTGGATTTGCATGACTAAAATTAACATGGGACGCTAAGACACTCCTCTTGAGCCTCCTGGTGAGCTTAATGTCTTCTGGTGTACATTTACTTGATCCCACTTTGTATCATACATTGGTTGGCAGCTTGGTGTACTTCATCGTTACTAGACTTGATATTGTTGATGGTGTCCATGTTGTCAAAAGTTTGTTAGCTCTCTTACTAAAATGCATTGGGAAACTCTTCTTCACATTCTTAGATATATCCAAGGCATTCAAATTCAAAATTTTCTATTTTTCTCATATTTCTCCCTGGAGTTATGTGCTTACTCTGATGTTGACTAGGCTGGTGACCCTATTGATCATAAATCTACAACAAAAATTTTATATTTTTTTAGGAGACTCTTTTATCTCTTAGAAGATTAAGAAACAAGATATTCTCTCACTTTTCAACGGAAGTTGAATATCGTGCCATGACTTTTATTACTACTACATAGATAGTTTGGTTACGTTGTCTACATAGATAGTTTGGTTACAGTGAAAATGAAAAATGAAATTCCATCAGCTCCTCACTAAGAGCAATTCCAACGGCAGGTATTTAGATTGTTACTTGTGAGTAAGTAATGTAGCTTACTAAAAATCTTCATTAGAGTTGATGAATGTGACATGAAAATTGAAAAAAAAAATCTTCTATTACTTATTAAATAAAAAAATGTAATATAAATTGTAAAAAAAATAGAGATATTTATAAACAATTTTTATTAAAAAAAATTATAAAAATATAATATAAATTACTTATAAATGATATGACACAATAACCCATTTAAAGTAGATGGCTTGTTTATAAATAACTCCAATCGGAGATATTTTATCAAGTGAAACAATTTGTTCCAAACATGGTTGACCACCTTGGTGGAAGGATTATTAAACCCTAGTGATTGGACAGTTCCTGACATCACTATTGATCTTTTTACCATTATTTTTGCCATACGTTGCATCACCTATGTAATTTTCTTTGAAAAACCATAATATATTACCACTAGCTAGTTAACCAATTATAACAATGTATATCTCATGCAACAGAATTAAATATAAGACACTACATTACAAGATTCCTCCATCGCAATGGAAAATTGTAAAATTGAAAATTCGTAATAGTAGAGTACTGCCAAGTTTTGAAAGTAGATTAAATTAATTGACAGTTAAAAGAATTGATTGTACAAGTTTGATGAAGTTTCCCATTACCGCATCAAAATAACCTAGCTCCCCTGCAACTTGGTTCTGATTCTTATGAACAGTTCATAATCAACACATACAGTGCGTGTAACTGTTATTTCTTAGATTTCATTGAATCACAAATTCACAATAAACAAATTTAGGAGGAAAAAACAGCGCAAGTCATTTGCACTACAATGATATACACATTTATCCATGCATCCGAACTCGTTAAAATTTATATGTCAACAATTTTTTCAACTTGAAATCATTGCTGGATTCATTTTTCCTTTTCATTGTTTAATGATGATGAGGTTACAAGATTGAATGCATAGAGACACCCCCTCCCCTTTTTCTTGCCAAAGAAATGAATACGCATGCATCTAGTAAATGGATGGGGGACACGTATATGAGACCCTAAGATCAATTTGATCACTTGGCATTGTTACAAATCCCGGGGCAATATGAACAACGGCGTAAGATCAATAGACATATGAACAGTAATATGAGAAGATCAATAGATATATTACCTAGCACTAGCCTCTTTTACTACTGCTAAGCACTCTATGAAGTTGGAAAGCTTCTCCCTGCTCTCCATTCAACGATCGTCTCTCTAAGCAGCAAGCAGTGAGCTGTCTAAGTAACCTCTCAAGATAGGAGTGCAAGCAATGTTTAGATTCTTTCGTATTCGGATTTGTGGACAATATCATGGCATTTACTGTGTCAGCTACAACTTCACGCTGCGAGTCTTTCAGAAGATAACCTACGGAGGATTCCAGAGGCTGTTCATATGCCAGCAAAGCAACACAGTCCTACAGAATGAACAATCCAAAGGCAATTTAAATATCAGTTCAAGCATACGACAATTGTAGACCAACAGTAAACAGATGATATACACACAAAAGACGATGATTATTTCACTCTTGCGCTTAAAAGCAAATAATAGAGATGAGATTACTCGTGCTAATCTAGTAATACCTTTAATCCTTTATATAAGAAATAAATGAGTGGTCTTTTTTTGTCCTAATTATAAGAAGCATAGGCTCACAAGTTTTATACCCTCCATTCATTTACAGTGAAATAATCTATTAATGAGACCTACTCAACATTTATTGTCTAAAATAACAACCCAAGTCATACTTCATTAGTGAAAAAAATTATCTTTTGAATTACGTGTAGTAGGTACTCCCTCTGTTTTTTTTTATTGACGTTTAAGGTTATGTACAAATTTTTTTTAGTTTTTCAAAATATTTATTACTTATTTTCATGTTATATCCTTTAGTGATTGGAGAAGAAATAGACACATTAAAAATGTATAAACACATTGTTCAGTAAAACATACATTAATTATTAAGGATAAAAATGAAAAAAAAAATTTAATAAGTTATTGATTTTAAAAAAGTGACAATGAAAAAACGACTATAAAAAAAAAACCCAAGGGATACGGTATAAAATTAGAGGAGCAGTAATAAATTAATTATTGGTAAGAAAAAATCACCTGAACTAAATCCTCAAAGACAGGCAACCCAAAAAAACATGTCAATTCTATTCTTCCATATTTGACAGCCTCCTCAAGTGCTCCAACCTACATATGGCATACAGAAACCCAAACAAATATTAATAAATTGTTCATTTTCAGTATGTTACCTGGGGGTTTTGAATCAAAGCTAGAACATTGAAACGACATATTTGACATTTTGAACAGCAAAAGAGAAATAATGTCAATTGAGTTTGGATTCCCAGAAATGGAATAACAACCTAAATCCACATTTATGACTACTGTCAAATGAAAACAAGAAAAAGTAAAGAAACATACCCGAACTAATTCGATAAATTTTTGGCAATGAAGCAGAAAACATGTAGCTGACGTATTGTCCTACAGTAACCAGAATTAATTCAGAAAGTGATTAGAGGAATCATATCACAAACATAACCTCCATAATATTATGATTCAAACCATAAAACACACCACAGCAAACATGATTGCATTTTTAATCAGTTCAATTGGAATTAGCTTTGCATCAGAACAAGATATACACAGCTGAGACAAGCATAATAATCTGAGAGAGCCCACCTCAACAATCTGTGGATACCATTCACGCAATTTACCAAATGCAACATCAATGTCCCCGTTCCTAATTAGCTTCATTGAAAACAAAAGACGCAAGTCAAATTAAGTTTGAAAATCAGCAAGTATAAACAGCCAGGATATCATACCAACAATAACAAAAAAACGAAAGCAAAACTACAATTTTTAGGAATGCGTAAGTTTAACAGGGTATGGACACTCTCAAAAAAGGTTCTAAATTCTAACCAAGTAAAGATGCTCCTTTAAAAGAGATTAGAATTTTAATCTTTCATATAATAATATCTATTAATTCGTTTAAAAAATATTGGAGGTTTGACTCCCTTAAAAATGATAAATAAGATCCCCAAGGAAATATTGACAATAAAAATATATCAACTGAAAATTGCAGAACATTCTCCAGCAGAACAGAAGACATGTAGACACAAAGAATGCCTTGAATTTATGACGGGGTTTGGTTTGTTTTCTTTTTTAGTATATGTTTTCATTAGCAGTTACAAAATCATATCGCTTTCATCTGTTTTTTTTTTTTTTCAGTGTTATAAACAAAATAGTGAAAAAAGAGCGGAAAATATTCTCGCTGCTACAAAATCTAATATCATCTTCCCAGTTCCCTCCCAGTTCCCTCTGAAAACAAAATGAAAAACTAAACAAGACTGAAGCGCATATATCTCCCAAATTTAATAGAAGATTTTTTCAGAGAAGCAACACAGGTATAACTACATCTACATTCAAATGTCAAGCATGCCTCCAAATGATTGAGGTTGTGTTTGGATGAAGTATTTTAAAAATTTAGGGAATTTGAGTTATTTTGATTTCAATTTCCATCATTCATTCAATACTTTGTTTGGATAAATCAATTCAAATTTATTAAATTTTAAATTCTTAATTTGAAAAAGGAAATTTGACTTCCACCTTAGGCAAAATTGATTTTAAATATATATATATATACTCTTTTTTTGAAATCTCGATTATACTTATAAAAATAAATATTAGCCAATTTTTAAATATTTAAGAATTTAAAATTTTAATATTAGACTATTTAAAAATTTTAAAAATAATTTTGAATATTTAATAATTAAAGAGAGAAGAAAGGGGTGAAAAGACAACAGTGGATGAGAGAAATGGAAGAGGAAAAGATGGAGAGAAAAAAAAAAAAAAAAAAAAAAAAAAAAGAGGAGAGAGAAAGGGAGGTGGGAGAGAGAAGGGAGAGAAGGGAGAGAAGGGAGAGAGAGAAAGAAGAAAGAGAAGAGATTAAAATTTGAGAGAGAGAGAGAGAAGAGAGAAGTGAAAAGGGGATAGAAAGTAGGAATGAGGCAAGACAGAGAGACAAGAAGGAAGATACAAGAGAGAGAATATAGAAAGATACAAGATATATAAGTGAGATAACAAATAAAAAACAAAGTGAGACAAGAAAGAAAAATATAAAGAATTTCAAATTCTTACTTTTTTTTTGAAGAATTTGCAACCCACTATCTCGAAGAATTTCACAAATACTTGAATTTCAAATTCTTTATGAATTCTCCTACCAAACAAAACATTTTACTCCAAAGCATTTGAAATTCATTAAAGAAAAAATGAATTACCCTCTTAAATCCCCTCATCCAAAACATTGTCAATTTCTGTTTTATGACTGAATGAAATTGACAGGAAAAAAAGCAAACTAATTACAGTATTATATAAAACAGTAAGGAGAAAAAAGTCCCCTTCTGCAACCAATCATGTTTGCACATGGGCTCATCATGTGTCCATGCATGTGTATATAACAAGATAACATTATTATTTACATCATTCCTTTCACAAAATTTTGAAGGCAGGAAACAGGAAGAAAGTGGTAACATTTTTGCAATTATTAGGATCCATTTGTATAATAGAATTGGAATTACAGGTTGGAACTTGGAATTCTAATTTCAATTCCAAATTTGACAAATGGAATTAAGAATCTTAATTTGTATGTTTGGGAATAAATATTTGAGATATAAATCACAACTCTAAATTGAATTGGAATTCTAATGGAGGAGTCGGGTGGCATCACGGCTACATGGCAGGTGCCAGTAACAATTATTACTTGCAACAATTGTAGCCAGAGTATGCGAACAGCATAAGTTTTTTAAGTATGAAAGTGACAGATAATGAACAATAAAATATGAAAATATTGAATTTAACTTTTGTCATTAGTATTTAAAACGGTTTAAAAATTGAATATATAATATAAATTAGTTATTTTTTTGTTCCATGAATAATATACCTGCCGTAGAGTCTTTCTGTGGTTTAAAGCATATGTTATTTCCTGATCATCACTTCCACTTTCTTGGGCTATGTATATAGGAGGAACAGTACTTTTACTAGCCACATCAAATGAATTTAATGTATCTTCGTAGCCATAGTGTAGCAGGTAGGAGCGAACAATTCTGTTAACGAAAAAAGGATATCAAAGTTGAGAAATATCGATTAGATATTATTTACTTATTAATATTGGTTCCCATGAAAACCATGAATGTCACTCGGATAGGGTTAAAAAGATTATTTCAACCTTCCTATGGTTATGCTTGTCAGCTAAACAGATTAACATTGATTCCCATGAATGTCACATGGCTAGGGTTATGCTTGTCAGTTAAATTACTCTCAATACAATCATGTAAACCATAGTTCATATATAGAACTATTCAATCTCTGGTATTCTGCTACCCCACTGTTTTCTTCTCCTCCCTTCTCTGGCCAAAACTCTTAGATACTGTTTGCAACTGAAGAATAAAGATAAAACTCATAAAACTTCTAAAACATATGATATATTCCCTATTTTCTTTCAATTACCCTAACCATAAAAGTTCATAACCGATTACCCATATAACAATTAACATACCCTAAAGTCCAGTTTGATATTCTAGCAGCTAATTTTTTGAAATAAAACTCACCATGCGGTGGTTCATGGTGGCAAGCCAGATAGTATTGCAGCCTATGGCAAAACAATGCGTCGTCTATAATGAACATGTTACACAGCAAAGAAACTGAAGAAGCTAAATAAAGCAAAACATTTCAAAAACGATAAACTGAAAATATCATAATTCATAAATTTTAGAGACATCATAATTATCACAAGTTCAATAGAAAAAACGGGAGAACAGAATGGAAACAAAGCCCCCAAAAAAGTGCAACTAAGGCTCTGTTTGAGATGGTTTTGTTTATTTTAAAAGCTACAATTGGTTTTCAATTTCTAGTTTGTAGTTTCAGTTTCTAATTTAAAAAACTTGTCAATCTAATAATTTTCCTTTAAAAAGTTCACAAAGATGTGAAGCTATTCAATGAGGCTGTGATAAAAGCAAAACATTAAAAAAAAAATATATATATATATATATATATATATATATTCCATTTGCATCTGAAACAGTACTTATTGGTGGCCAGTGGAGACAACAGAGCCATTGGGTCAGTGCAAGTAGAGAAACCACTGATGGCGGTGTTTCCAGTAGAGAAGTAGCAAAAGGGTTGCAGGTGATGGCAAAAACAAAGGGGGAGAAGCAAGGGGTGGAGAGGTAAAGACTAGAGGTGACAGGCTACCCAGCCTGATGCAAATTGAGCAAATTGATCTAAAAAGCTCAAATTCAACTCAAGCTTCTAAAATGAGGTTCAAGTTGGAAGATCGATTTTTAAGGGGTTTTGCACGCTAAAGCTCAAATTGGGTCATGATCAGATCAGGCTGAGAAGACCCAAGTATAATTTTCAAAATTTAAAGCCAAGTTGAATAATTCATTGGGTGACTCCAGGTTGGGTCAGTCACAAACTTGATGTGGAATACAGGATATATAGCATGTTGAGCCAAAATGCCCAAGATCAAGTCAAACTTCTAAAATAAGGCACAAGCCTAGTGAAAAATCCAATTTTTGCAGGTTTTTAACAAGCTAAGCCCATACAAGGCCATGTTCAAATCAGGTTTAAAAGGCTCATTAATTCATGCTCAAAATTTAAAGCTCAAATCCTACACTTCATCAAACGGTTTGGGTCAAGGCAGACCCTCTTCTAGCAAGACTGAACGAGTAGAGGAGAAGACTAAACAAGATAAGAAAACAGTATGAAGGAAGTAGAGAAGGGTGGAGGAAAATATTAAAAGGGATGATACAACAACTAGAACTAGAAAATACTTTTCTTGTTAAGTTAAAATGGTTTTAAAATTCATTTAAAAACCATTTCAACTCCTATTTATCCAAACAAATTTTGTTTTTAATTTGAAGTCTGAATACTATAAATTGGAAAATTACAAATTACAACCACGCCAAATGGAGCCTAAAATAAAATTAAAAAAAAACAAATAAAAAGAGCAGAATCAATTGAAATAAATAAATAAGAGATTGTGAGCCAGAAAATGGGTCACTCAAGATGGGGATCACAGTTGAGATGGAAGAGGATAGAAAAAGTTGTGAAAAATAGAAGCGACCTAGATGCCTGTATTTTGTGCTTTAGGGTATCATGAACCCATGTTTCCGCCATCCATGGCTACTATTTAAATACTAGTTATATTACAAACACTATAAGAAAAAACTTGCACCCTAGAGACTCTTGGACGATATACTACAACATATGTTCTACATAGCTAGCATATTTATTTTATTGCAAATATTTATATCTGCATAAAGGGAATTGGGGAAAAATATGCCAAAGACCGCTTCAACCTCAAGCAATCAGAAAATTTTATTTGACATAAAAAAAATAGATAATGTTGAAGGCAGGAAAACATAGCTTAAACCGCTAGGAGATTAAATTAAACAGCTGAAAACACAATAATCACCAAGAATTTTCCCCTTTTCAACAGAAGACAACACTACAAAATAAATTTGAAATGAGAAACACAAATCCACTTCGAAAAGCACTACTAAACCTCAAAGTTCTTTAACATGACACAGTTCTATATATTGTATAAAATCATAATATTTTATACAAGTCTAAATAAAATATCTTAATAATCAATTTTTTTCCTAAGGAGAAATAGAAATTAAAAGAGAAACTGGTTTATTGGCATCTACTTTAAATGCAAACTCATACTGCATTTTCACCAACCAATATTAGATTCTCATTTGGACAACTACACTAAGCGAGCTTGAACTATTAAATTATTTTCTCATATCAAACTTTAAACTTCCATGGTTACAGCTTCCAGCACTAAACCTCTAAGAACCACTTAGTACACCTTCAGATGCTCCCCCATTAAATTTATAATCTCGTCACTTAATCTTATTAGATGAATAGAGCACCCAAACAATCATTTGTAACAGATAAATTTGTGGGCAATGTGATAGAAATCTGCACTTAAATCCATATGCACACAAATTCTTAGGGAATTTGTCCTTAGTTCTGTAATCTTACCCTGATCCTGATTACTAACTATAAATACAGTCCCAACGAAGTCCCTAGTTAAAAACAATAGAAAATAAAGAACATACTCAACTTAAATAAAAATGTAATGGAAAACGGAGTTTAATATAAAAGTTATTTATAAGGTAATTTTCCTCACCCATAACTGACATTTGGTGGCACAGAAATTTCCTCTATTTTCAGTTGCTGCTTCATTCTTTCTTGTGCTTCAAATTCCTGATCAAATAAGATATGTTTAAGAAAAACATGGATAAAGAAAACTATATAGCATGACATTGATATTTGTGAATGTAGTATATCAAATTTAAATATTTTAATTCACCATTTCATCCAAGTACCATTTTAGATGAATAAGATGTATGATAAAGTTATCAAAATATCATTTATTTCTCCTCAAAGTGCTTACTCTAGAACTTATTATGCTACTAAAGAACCGCTTATGTTTAGACTGGCATACAGTTTTTCACTTTAAAGGATATTATATTTTAAAAGGAAAGGAAAAAAAAAATTCATAGTAGCAGCCCGAGAACACAGGGTGAGAGCCTGAGACAACACACCTATACTAATTTATCCCACCAAATTGTGAATCATATGAAATCGAAAAATATTGTGAACATTAATATTCACAATCAATTATTAAAAATAGCATAAAACATAGCTTTTCACACAATGAAACATTATAAACATCCATGTCTGAATAATATAAATACAAATATAAATATAAATATATTTACATATAGATGTTTCAACAATATAAATATAGATATATTGAAATTGAATTAATATTATATTTTAAATTCATGTCAGCTAACATAGTATAGCTTATGGGGAAACAATATACAGAATTAAAAAATTTAGAACATCTAAGCTTCCCAAGTATTAATTAGGTCTCCTCCATATAATTTACTCCCTCTATTCACTATTATAAGCAAAAAAAAAAAAAAATTTGTTTTTAAATATAAGCAACTTTCAACTATTTGTCTTATTTAATGATATTTTTCATAAAATATCTCTTCTTTACTGCATGACCTTTCAGCTGTATTACTTCTTTTGACATTTCTAACAAGAACAATTTAGGAAGAATATTATAAGATTGGTAAAATTAATACAAATAATTAATTTCCTTGATATGCATAAAATCAGTTTTTTTTGCTTATAATAGAGACATCACCAAAGAGTATGTTTATTGTATATCTGTCCAACCAAGATTCCATGCATGAAGAATAGCACAGATTTCTTTTGGCACAAATATCAAAACCATGGTATGGACGGAAGAATTTCATTTTTCACCTGAAAACACAAACTGCAAAACAAACTGGCACAATGAAACCACACTGAAACCTTAGCCACCACGGCCATTGCCACAAACATTTATCATTAGTCCTGCCTTTATACCCTCCATCAACACTTGTTACCAACATGGTTGTCCAAATCAGGTTTCAATTCATAGAATTATATATTTTTAAGTGTTAGGGAGGCTTAAAGTATACTCTAATGATAAACATACTGGATTTGTTGTGTGTTCAATGTGTTGGTGGGGATAGTTCCCCACACCAAAAAAACTGTCTGGCCCAAACCCTTGCCTGCCAGAACTAGGTTAACTTGCACTCTTGCAGTATCAGTGTTCCCATTCTCTCCATTCATTATCAATGCTGAGGAAAAAGACAACAACAATGGAAAAAAGAAAAAACAGGCAACATCATCGACATAAACGTAGGAGCAGAAAAAGTAGATGATAGTGAATTACTACGAAATTGGGATTCAAATTATGGCAATTCTTGTAAATCAGACAATGATCAGCACCAAAATGAATCCAAAGTTATGTATAGGAGATGCAGAATCGCATAAGATTCTATTTAGATAAACTCCTCCAAAAACATTCACGGGAGGAAAAAATATAAAGGAAAAATAAATAAACTTCTCCATTAGCTAACATTAGCTTATGTGTAAGCTAACATTAGCTTATGCATAAGCTAATTTGTAGAAACTCTCATTATCTCCAAAAACTTATTTTTAACATGCATAAACTAATCTTAGTGTTTCATTTTCCTTATCTATTTTCTTCTCCTATAAATAATAATGGAGAAGTTTATCCAAATAGATTCTAAATGTATCACAATTATGCAATTTCGATTACACTAATCCACACAATACTAACCTTGAGAACAAGCAGTTTAAAATGCGCCATCATAATCTCATAATACATGTCTTACCTTTAGGTCAAAAGTGAATGGTTTCTGCCCAAAGTTGACATGTACCCTGTTAGAGTTATTGAAAAATTAAACACCTAAGTAATGATGAAAAGAAGCTGCTATTTTCTATTTGAAAGTAAAGAGTTCGCAAGTAGTGCTGGCAATAAAATGAAAAGATGTAAAGAGAGTAGTGGCAGTACTCTTCATTTTGGCTATGAACAGCAATGGTTGGAAAAAGGGGGCCCTTCATGTCTTTGTAAACAGAGCCAACGACTTGGCCATTTTTCCTGGGATGGAAAGAAGCAGAGAAATGGTATGTTAATAGTATTGAAAGAAGAAAGTAGATGAGGAGGAGTAAGCGGTGAAGATTACGTGAAAAAGAATTCATGGGCGGCATAGTTAATTCCGGCACCAACTACATCACCAGATGTAAAGGTTGGGCCAAAGGCCTCCCCCTTGCCATGTCCACGATAAAGCAGACCATCATCGCCGTGGTAGCCGCAGCTATTGGCCTCCCACCTGAGAGGAATTAATAGGGTTAGGGTTCCAAGAGAAGAATCAAAAAAGGCACCGAGTGATACACTCACCCTGGCTGTCTTCGCATCTTGAAGGTCTCAGAGGTGAAGCCAATGGCAATCTGGCCCTTAACGCCCGCATCCTTGACGTGAATCTCGAAATAGTAAATGAGGCGCTTCGTAGGAGCAGGCTTGTTGGCCTGAATCACACCCACGTCATGGCCGTGAAGGTTCACGCTCGTATACTTGACTGACAGCTTGTCAGTTGACACCACCACGAAACCACCAGAGCTGTTAATCGTGTTCAGCTCCCTCGGTGCCTCTTCCTCTTCCTCCATCACTCCCTCTTTCATTTCCCTATCCCTACACGCCTCCAAGAAGTACAGTCCCAGATCTTGATCTTCCACATTTCTCCTCTTGCTGTTCCCGTTACTCTCACTCATCGCTATATTACAATTCACAATACAAACCCTACCACCTTCTTTTTCTTTCAATTTCCAACACCCTCACAATATACTTTTCTTTTCTTCAATCGCACACCACCGTAATCGCTATCTATTCAGAATTTCAGATCAAAACCATCACCCTCTCCTATTTATTTCTTTCTAAATTCTAATTAATTAATTAAGGTAAGGTCTAGCACCGGCACTAAAACCATTTCTTCGCACTCACCCACCGACTTTTATATATACTTTTATAATATATATATATTTATTATGAGAGATGAGATGGTTAAAATATAATCCTTAGATTAAATTAGGTTGGGTCAGGTTTAGATGAATCTGAATCCAATCAAAATTCAACTGAATTGGGACAGAATTGTGTATTTCTTTCAAAATTGAACTCAGCTCAACTTGACTACAAACAAGTTAGATTAAGTTAGATCAATTGTGTTAATATAATTAATATTTTTTTATAAAAATTTAAATAATTTATAATAGATATAAATCATTTAATATCTTATAAATATAATATTATCAATTGATAAAGTAAATAATGATATAAATTAAATTTAAAAATAAATTTATTAATATATTACATTGTTATCCACCTCAAACAATGTTAATACAAAATAAAATTTAAAATAAATGTTTGTGTTGTTAAAGTATTATCCGTCTAAAAATACAATAATTATTATTAAACAAGAGGGATAGAGAGTATTATCATAAATAAATAATCACACTAATTTATTATTATTATTATTATTATTATTATTATATTATATGATCAAATCAAGTTGGATAACAATCAAAAAACACAAAATTTGTTATTCAATCTATACAATACCTAATTTTGATGAGATTGGATTGAATTAACTCAATCACTAAAAAAATTTGACTTAAATTCATTGAATCAATTTGAATTTGTGGAGTTATTCATACTCATTTACATCCATAATACTATATGTAATTTTTTTTAAACTTATTGAAAATTCTTTATTCTTAAATCATATATGTAAAATTTTATACTACTTCAAAATAATTTGATGTTTCATTCTAATAGATCAAAACTAACATAATATATACATTTTAAAATATATTAAAATATAAATATTTTAATTATTTTTTAATTTTAACATAAATTAAAATAAATATACAATATAATATAAAATTATAATTGAGCAATTGTTTATTACCTTCACTTTAAAGAAATAAATCTTTTGTAATGGATAACATTATATTTTTATTTTCTTTAAAAAAATATATTAGCTTAAAGCTGAGTCATGACGTCTTCCATGTTAGCACTCACCCATCCCATATTATTATTACTTGACGCTGTTCCATACTGTGTTTTTGTTCCCATAAAAGTCCCTTCTACAATTCCTGCCATCGATCATTGCACGCACATTTACATATTTAATAAGGGATATCTAATAAAGTATTTATTTAATATTTTGTATTTATTACTTTTTGTGTCTATTAATTTTTTAAAAAAAATTTTCTCTAGATAATTTAACAAGATCTAGATTGAATTGTTGCATTTATTTATATAGGATTGGAGGTGTCATAGTACCAAACTTAAAAACTATTAAAAAAATTAGATGCAATGGGCTACATCGTCAACTTGAAGATACAGGCCGAAAGCATCAACCCAAAAAAAATAGGAGACGGTATGCCAGTCTTCCATTCCAAAAAAAAAAAGATATTTTGCTCCTGCTGCCTTCCATGTGGCGCTGGCGAGGAAGAGGCAGCAGCCAGTATTCAATAAAATACCACTTCCGAACAGAGTCATCTGCCGAACCAAACTAGTTTGGCTGCAAGGTCCACCAAGCTACTAGTTTAACTATACAATAAAATACCACTGTATAAATATGGAGTCTAAGATTTCTGGTATCCTGCTTATGCAACATTGATTAATCAATTTCCAGAATGCAAGTGCCGTGCAGCATCAGTGCTTATGTCATGCCTTTCTATCCCAAGGTCAAATGACGGAGACCGAAAAATATCAAGGTTGGGTGTGTGAGATTGAGGGACAGTATCTTGCTTCTGAATTGACAAATCTAATTTCCGTTTTAGAAGTGAAGTTGCTTGAGCCTCCAACTCATCAAGATCAAGGTCATTATAAAATTGATCATCATATAGAACATCTGTAGTTACAATTACATCGGCATCCACTGTTTCTTTTTTTGATTGAAGTGCAAATTCTCGGTCAAGGTTCATATTTGGGAAGTGTCCAGAATGGTAAAATGACAGTCTTCGTTTGCGACTTCTTATCTCTGTCCCAGTTCCCGTAGGAGAACAAGTTGAAGGCACTGCTTCTGAGGTTATCTGCTCGATACTAACAGATTCTGATGTCGGATTAACTGACTGTTTGGTTGGCTCTGTATGGAGATGATTCACTGTCTTCCCAGAAGAATCCTCACTTTCACTAATACTGGCTGCCATAGTCACAGAGTCAGGAGTGAAGGTGGCAGAAAAACCAAGCCCTCCATTACTCGGTGTTTGACTGAGCAAAGAACGCCTGCAGCAGAGCTAATTCTAATTATAACAAGAAGTTAATAACACTTTATAGTTTAGAGTTAATTCAATGTGATTTTGTAAATGCGCATATAATTGCAAAAGACTCGATAACAAGTTAACGACACTGATGTTCTCACATTTAGTTAAATATGTAACTAATGACAAGAATGCAGCTCTACACGTTACAACTAACATATATATATATATATATATATATATAACACCTGTAAATTGCCATCATGTCCAATCTGCTAGCTTCAAGCTGACTAGCTGCCGTAGGGTTGGTCCTGTCATCTATGAAACTGTCAAATGAATTGCCATCCTCGTCATCTTCATCATTAGATACAAAGGAATCTAAAGATACCCTGACAATATTGAACAGCTCATGAGATTGGATATTTTCACAAAATGTTCCGTGATATATGGATTATTTATATCATTATATCTTTTTAATCAGCAATGAAAGATATGCTATGATACTAAATATTGCATGTCAAAAAATGCTAAAACAAAGGAAGAGAATGCAACATTCAGCAAGTCTTTAGAAAAAGCTTACTCAGCTTCCTCCTCAATGAAGTCTCTCACATTGTGTGTTGATTTCCTTTCACCTAAAAAGTGAAAAATGAAGCACCACAGCCTTAAGTTTTCTCAAATAAATCATTATAGAATAGAATTTTGTTAAATATATTTCTAAGTTGTTTTAAAGAAACAAAATATGATCTAAAATGCTTCAATAGAGCAAGGAACAAAAGAAGCAGTAAACAAACTAAAATCACCTTGGCCATGCTTATATCGTGCAGGATTTGAGGCAGAAGATGATTTGAGAAAGTTTGCTGTTGAAGCAAAAATTTTATTGTTTTTATGATTTATATTACTTTCAGTATCTTCAGCTTTCCGCAACCTTTTAAATTTGCGTGCAGGTTTAATGCTTTCAGACATTTCACCACAATCTGGAAGTGCTTCATCACTGAAGCTTGGGTCAGTGTTATGTACATGGCCTTCCTCAGTTTGAGAAAGGAAGACTAGACCTCTTCTAATTGCACGATTCTTGAGCTCAAGTAAAGAGGTTTGAGTTTCATTAACAACAGGAGAAGTACAGGCATTCTTATTGGTGCCTCTATCAATGAGGACCTTTTCAGTTTCCCAAGGGCTTAAAGAACTAACATCCTGTTCTTGGTGGAGATGAACAGGTAACATACACTCGTGTATGACAGAATTGAATCTTGATTTCCCTGAAAAATTAAATTTATTTCCGAACAAATTATGTAACTGTATTCACACAATTAAAAAAGTGATCACTCAAAATATTGTACACAGTCACTTTATCACCTTGAAGACACCGACCTCTTTCATCAACGGGAGACTCTGGAACAACACCACTTCTAATAAAATTAGTTAAACGTGGACTGAGTTCTTCATCTTTCATGCCATTAATGCAAGCATCTGCAACCAACGAAGAAATCTCAATCTCCACAAGATTTACCATTTGACCAGCATTATCTCCTTTATTGGACACGCTTCTCTTAGCAATTGGAGTCTCAGGAATTGTCTCATCGCCCTCACATGTTTCCTCTTGATCCTTACTCAAGTCACTGAAAGTACCATCTTGTGGAGTTATATCGATGAAGTCTTTGCTTTGAATCCCAGAATGACAGCAATCCAGCTCCAGACAATTAACAGAGATTACATTACTTCTCATTGTATGCCTAGAGCATGATTCATTGTCTGAAGAGGACAGGAACAAAAAGGACTCGCCGTTAGCTAGTGTATTCACAATATTTATATGTTATTAGATATTACCTTTTTTAGCTTCACAACAGAAGTTGAAAATGTGTAGCTTCATAGAAAGGATGTTAATTATGAATACGCATCAAGAAGTAAATAATTTTGAAAGGGGAAAAACTATAATGAAGCAACAACTCTTTTCTGTGGCAATGTTGACAATGGGAGTGCTTGTTGTTTGGCATTAAAATTCAGGGGAGAAAATTAAACAGAAGATATTACCTTTTTTATCTTCATCAAGTTTGGTAGTGGCGACTGGCTTACTTGGTCCCAAACACAGAGCTTCCTGAATCACTCAACGGATATATCATTTTACCAAAAAGGAGAAGGTGAATCATATTATATGATCATTTTCATAGTGTAGTACTAATCTAAGAGAGGAAGTAGAACCTGGAGTGAAGAAGTTTTGTCATCTTCCGGAAATGATACTAGTCCTTGCAAACGCTGCATGATGTCTATAAGCATCAATGTTCCAGGGGAATGCTTCACTTTATGCACTCTAGAAGGAAAGGTCTGAAAATGGGGAAAGGCAATAAGAGACATTCTGCAATTGTTTTCCCCAGTAGGGACAAAATATGTTTCAAGAAAATCAATTTCAGCAACAGTGAGTTTGTCCTTTGATGGAGAAGTGTGGAATTCATCGTCTTTCAAATTCTGTTGACGAGGAATAAATTTTTCAATGGACAACTCTACATATTGAACTTCTGGTTTAAGGACATGGGGAATCTACAAAAGTAATTAATAAGATTTAGAGGATTAGGATAGAAAGCATAAATAAAAAACAAAAGAAGTTATCTGATGATTTCTGACCATCCTCGGACTAGGATGAAAGGTGAAGCTATTTACGCCTCCATTTCGCATGTGTTTACTTATAGTTTTGCTCTTTGCCTGTTTTCGCA